GTAAAAATGTTTATATAAAAATAAAACTGATATGGCACTTAACATAAATTTTTTGATACTATAAAATCTGAGTTGTTTTCCTCCTCAGTATCCTGTGTTCATATGATCTGCAGGCAGTGTCCATGCTCTGTTGTTGTGTGAAGTTTGGTGATTTTTTCTGTTCTCTGCTTGTTACTGCCTGTCATTTTGGTTCTTTGATGTTGTCTGTATGCAGCTTGGATTGGAACTGTCTCTGTTAAATACAAGCTATAAAATGAAATTTAAGAGAATGCTATGATATATAACTATTATAATTAGTTACTACCTGCAGCCAGTGCTCAAAACTCATTTATTTCTGATATTTAAAAAAACAATAAAATAATTTCAAATGCATGCTATTAAGGTAGGTTACAGCAAGGTGAATTTCAGTGATGTAAGTAAGACGCCATTACATTACATTACATTACATTGCATTGCATTGCATGCCATGGATCAAAAGTTAGTCAAAATGACTGTAGGATGTGGAATATGTCATATAAATACAAAACATATGTATAGACCCCATTCCAGGGGATGATTTCAAAATTCAATTAACAAAATTTACATTTTATTACAACCTATGCTGTTGACATAAATGTCCACATAGAAACAAAATTTTCTTTTCTAAGTAAATTCTATCATAAAAGCACTTTTCCCAACAAAAAAAAATTTCAGGGGTGATGGACATCTCACCCTATAATCCACCTATCTAAATACAACTTTTATGTTGTATTCCTAGTCAAATTTTTCTTTTTTTTGGGGGGGGGGGAGCATGCATGTGCTGCACACACATGCTCACAAAATTCCTCGCTTAGAATCTGTTTCTAATTTTCTTACATTCATCTCTTATTCCTTCTTTAATAATCATTTCTCTACATATCTTTCAATTATACAAGCAGCCACTTTCATTAATATATAAGTCTCAACTGCTTTCGAATAAAATAAAATACATGTTCTTAGTACACTGTATGCATTCCTATTTCCAAGAAGACTGAGCCAAGTTTGACTTAATATGTAACGTATTTCGTTACTGAATAAAAATAATTTTCATATATATTTATATATATATATTTCATACATATTTATTTATGCATACAAAATTTGGTTGGGATACCTCAAAGAAAAAGACAACTTGTGAGACCTAGGCATAGATGGGTGGATAATGTTAAAGTAACTTTAAAGGGAAAGATTAAATGACCAGAATCAGGAGAAGTCCAATGTCAGGTTACTGTGACCACCATAACAGCTAACAACTCAATCAGATGAATTAGTATCAAATACCGAAGTAGACCCTGTTCTAGAGAGTTAGCTGAATAAGGATAATGATCAAATGTCACCTTTTCCAAGCTGTCTGACAGAGAACATATCAATCATGACATGTTACATTCAGACTGCAAAGAACATCATTACCTGATTTTGTGTACTAACCTAAATTTGAGAGAACCATCAAAGAATAAAATAAACTGTAACAGCACATTATTTCTTACTGATACAGTGCTCTTTCAATTATCTACATGTTAATTATCTGGTCCAAAAATTACCTAGATTTATTATTTGTCATTAATTATTGAATTACTGAAAATTTATAAATCTGTATGTTGCCATGTACCTGTGACCAAGATCTTGTTTTTCTCACTCTGTGTACTAGAATGTATCATGTTACAGTCTACTTGACTGTCAAAGACTTTAATTTCAAATCTCTTACCACTAAGAGTACTGCTGCCACAAATATAAAAGATATCCTAGTGTTTTTCATGAAAAATCAGTAGCAATTAGAAGAGAGACTTCTGTGCTTTATATATATATATAGCAAAAAAGTGTTTAAAATCAAATATTCTATATGGCTGTCCCACCTCTTGACATAGATATGGATTAAAATTAACATGAAACCAACTTCTTAAGTACTGGCTAAATCTGACTGTGGCAGACCTGGCAAAGCCTACTTTATTAGCTCAACTGGTTCAATGGGAGGGAAAGAGTGACGACAGTATAGAATTTGGACCATGTCAGTATTCTACAGTACGTCCAAATCTGAACAAGGAAGCATCTTTTACAATCAGATTACATGCTAAATCACAACTAGAAGTTTGTGATGATGGTATATTAGTGTAATTATTGACTTCATGGACATTATACATCATCCTGCTTGCTTTTTTTTTTTTGTTCTTTTCCACATTTGGCATCCTGTTTTGTATGTATATCAATGTGTACATTGCGACCAAAAACACAACAGATTAGGAGATTACAGTGCAATAAATGACTGGGACATGTACATCAATATAGCAATCAATTTATTAAATGACTGTCATGCAACATGTTTCGGTCCTATGACCATCATCAGGCATGTATAAATAAATAAACACAACAACATTCATTGTTGAACTGCATGGTGCAATGGATCCATTGCCGTGTGCCACATTCACAAGTCCCAGTCAGTTATGTACTGAACAGTAACCTACCATCTGTTGTGTCGATGGTCCCAGTATACATATTGTCCTGCTTTTTATTCAAAAACATTTTGGAGACTGAACTCTGGATCCATCAAGTAAGAATCTACTCAGTTGAGCCCCACTGATGAAACTAGTCCCCAACTCCAGACCCTCAGGTAAATGCCTACTCAGTTGGGCCTAATTGATAGAGCTAGTCACTGACTAGCTGACAGAGACAAGAGCCCAGTCTCCAAAATGTTGTTTTTAAATAAAAACAGGACAATGGACAATGTCCAGAAAGTCGGTAATTGTACTGATTATATGATACTTACATATAAAAATTACATCAAAATAGAAGGAAAGATCAGAGTAAATGAAATGAATTACAATATCATTTACCCTATGGCAACTGCATCATGTTGTCATTCAATTGCTGCAATTCACCACTCTCATGCAAAAGGCAGAAATAGAAGAACAACAACATTTTGTGCACACGCAGGCTTAAAAAACTGAAATCACTTACATATCCACCTCTTTTGAGTAGCCTTCTGCATCCTCAAACATGCTGCTCTTCAGCACCTCAGGGGCAAGGTATCCTGGGGTGCCACACAAGTCTGAAATGAGAAGAATATGCTGATGATATGACTACAGTGAGGAGTAAACCAATTTCAGGACTAGTGCTGCAAGTTCATATGGCCACCATGTCGGAGTTGTGTTCCTTGTCCAACTGCAAACATTACCGAGCACCAAATGTGAAATGTCAAACTGATTATGAATTATGAATGTGGAAAGATGATGATCTACTTTAAGGTATTATCCCAGAATTTCCATTCAGAGACAAAGGAAAATGACACAAAAGAACTTGAGGTAGACAATTATTTGGCCACAATTCAAACCTAAATATGGTCATCTAATCCACGCACACTACATCACACTCAGCCTTAATTCACATCTCCTTGCTCTATCAGCAACATCTCTTGCATGTTAGTAGTTTTTTATTTTCTGAGCAAACACATCTCAAAAAAAGATAAAGTGATGGTAAAAATGTAAAATCTGTGAAAAGAGAAAGTAATATACAGTAAACTTACAGTTATCTGGCATCCCAGGATCCAGAATTCTCATACAGCTAGTAAAAATTTCAGAGAAAAACTTTCCATTCATTCAGTTCCTTTATTTTTCATATATACATACAGGTAACAAACCTAGGATGTGGAAATGGTCGCTTTGAAAATAGATATATCAAGATACATATACAAAATTACACAAGTCACATAATCAAAATCACTTACATTAATCGATTAGCATTAATAATATAAAGTAAAAGATTTAATAAGATAATTTAAAAATAACTTACTATAAAACTTGGCTGCGCCATAGCTCAAGCGGTTAGTCGCTGGCTTCCCACAGCAGCAGTCCATGTTCGATCCCGGGTCTGGTCAAGTGGGATTTGTGGTGGACAAAGTGGGGCTGGGGCATGTTCTCTCCGAGGACTTCGGTTTCCCCTGCCAATCTTCATTCCACCAATTGCTCCACAATCACCCTTACCTATCATCTGGAGTTGGTACAATAGACCAGAAGTGGCCACAGTACAAGGGACTTAGTCCCACCCCACTAGCAATAAAAAAGACATCTGTACCATCATGGTAGACTGGTGGAATAATTCTTTAAAAGGCTCCTTTCACTGTATTTAGTAACTGATTTAACTTATGACAGTGAGTTAACTGGCAACATACACTCCTGTTATGCATTTTTGTATTTGTCTTGTTGTATAAAATTCAGTCCGAGCTAATTATTAATGATATATATTCAAGCTTTTATTTTCCTGCTATTAGCTTAACTTTCAGGTACATATGTATGAAGAAATTTCTTACGTGATTAGTTTAAGAAAGGTTGGAAGCAGTGAACTGCTCATAGATCACTACATTGAATAGTATTTATCTCAAAAATCCATGTTTATTTATAAAATGGAAGTGTTAACCTCAGACACAATAATATGCATGTATTTTCAACATGCTGTTCTTGTGCTTAGTCTAAAATTGACCGTGCAAGTAATTTTGGTAGAATTAAATATGCAAGTAATTTGTGGTTGTTGGTGTGTCTGCTTAGTTAATTCATGTTTAATTCCATGTATTCTGGAAGAAATGGTTCATATTTACATATTGTATATTCAGAACTATTTTTGCAAATACTTCTGAGAAAATGTAAATAATGCCATTTGTGATTGCATACAAATCAGCAGAGATGTCACAGTTCTGATTCACTCTCGAAAGCATCTGGCTTACAGTATAGTCATGTCTGTGTGTCCATGTCATGATTATTGAATTACAAGGCTGATTTTCATTAAATATGGTGTTAATGCTGTGGCGTTGGAGGCATAACCACTTTAATACAATACAGTACAATACAATAATTCATCATTTCTTGTCAACAGTGCCAAACAAAACGTGGTGTACTACTCAGCAGTCGTGATCTGTACAGGCATACCCTTGTATTTGGAGGGATATATTCCTAAGATAATCATGAATAGAAAAATTCACAAATAGTGTGACTCACCATAAAGTTTCTCCCCAGGTTTTATGGCACGCGCAAAGCCAAAGTCAGTGAGCTTAATATTGAGGTTATCATCCAGCAAAATATTCTCCGGTTTCAAGTCACGATGCACAATGTTGTGACCATGTACATGCTGCAGGGCCTCAAACAGTTGTCGCATGATGTACCTGAATAACCGAACATGACAACATGAAGAAGTGATAGAATAAAGACACAATTACACCCAACATAATTCTTTATACACTTCAACCTAACTTATCCTAAAACAAATACAAAAGCATATTAATTGTAAATGCTGTGAAGGAGATGTAAGATGTACAAGTTCAAAGCCATTCTCACAGTAATGTGGTACAGTTTGTAGAGGTTAGATGACTCATTCTATTTTGTGACAATGTGTCTGTAGATTGTCCAATACTTTTATAAGCAGTGTACAGGTGGACAAAAAAAATAACAAAAAGCACAACTAAATATTACTTGCCTTGTCTTCTTCTCAGAAAGTGCTACCACAGATGTCAGGTAATCAAACAGTTCACCATTCTTGCACAGCTCAAAAACCAAGAAGATAAAAGTACTTGACTCAAACACATCATGCAGTTCAACTGAAACACAATATCAGTATGCTGACTTATGCAATGTGGCAACAACAGCAGGTCTTTGATGTAGATATAGACAAAATCAGTCTCAAAGAACGACACTTCTGCAGCTGGTAAACAATAAACACATCATGTAGGATTTCAGGTTATCACAGTGGCGGTTATGAAGAATTCTATCTATGCCTCCATCTCGGGGGTTGAAGAATAAGGCAAGCAAGAAACCAACATAAAGCAGTTAGCAAGCAGAGCTCTGTGACCTGTTCCTCTGAAATGCTGGTTGACTACATGGTTTTACATCCAAGATGACAGATCTCTTAATAGAAACATCACTCACTACCTAATCTTTCTGTACTACAAAATAATGCTACTCCAACAGTTCAGTACAGGTAGTGCAATTTTGTTCTCATAAACTTTGATTTAAAAAATACTTTAACTTCTGCAACACGATGTTCCACAGACTTGCATAAAATACCAAGTGTAGTGAATGGTGAAATCTGGGTGAATAATAATAAGAAACAGATCAAAAGTATAATGAATATTCTCAAAAGTATATAGTATAAAGTATAAAGGAAAAGGAAAAATGTAAGAGACACAGAGTCCTGCTACTTGGGAACAATCAAACAAGAGGTTGAGCAGACTTACTAAAGCTGAATTTAAATAGTGAGTTCGATGTCAGCGGATTTGTGAAGCCAGGAGCAAAGTCAAGGAACATTCTAGGCACAAATATCAATAAAGACATGTCAAAGGATGATATTGTACTAGTCTGTGCTGAATCAAACAACATCAGTAAAAATAATGCAGAGGAAGCATTAAAAAACATAATTAATTTTATAAAAAGAACCAGTCACACCATCATCATAAGTCATGAAAGCACTACACAGACATGATTTAGTCGACTGGTCATGTGTAAACAAAGAGATTGAACTATTTGCAGACTTCTAGCCAAGACTGAAATTATATAAACAGGTGTCAATTAGTAGTCTAAATCTTGACAGACATTTTACAAGACATGGGCTGCACATGAACTATGAAGGAAAAGAAAAAATGTGCCAGTAAATAGCAGAATTGGTTCAGCGAAAGTTTGGGACAGGGGTTAAAGCTCTTCCAGCTAACGCTATTCCACTAAAATATTAAGAAGACACAGTCCATGAAGAGGCTACTCAACTAGAATACAAAGAAGACACTATCCATGAGGCGGCTGCAGAAACCCAGGGGAACGAAACAGAGAAAACTTCAGCAGACCCATCCCTTAACTGTGCGGTGCTATTTGAAAGAGATCAACAACACGAAGTTTGTATGTCAACCAGACAAGGGAGCCCCACAGTAAAGCTAAGAAAAGACTTTTTATAGACAAGCATAATGCTGGTATCCTCAAGAATAATAATAATAATAAAGTAAATGCAAACATTCAGATATTCCATCAAAACGTGCAAAGTCTAAATAATAAAAAGCTAAATATGGATGTGCTACTAACAGATAAAGCACTAGAGTTAGACATACTATGTATCACCGAACACTGGTTAGAGGAAAAAGAAATAGGTTATTATAATTTTGAAAACTATTCCCTTATATCGAAATTCTGTAGGAAAAATAAGCAGCATGGAGACTCATGTATCTATGTCAAAGCCTTATAACTTGTTTGAAAACTTGAATCAAGAAGAACACTTTGAGGCTAGTATAATCGAACTTATCCAGTTTAATACAATTATTATCTGTGTATACAGAACTCCAAACAGTAATATTAATATATTTATTGAAACCATGGACACAATAATTAGCAATTTAATAAACAAAGGGAAGAGCATCTCAACATAGATTTCCTAGGAAGAAGAGTAAATCTACAACTGCAGACAATGTTAAACTCATATGGCTTGCAAGCAATAGTTGATGTCCCAACGAGAATAGGACCTAGAAGTCAAACAGCTTTAGATCAAATAATATTGAACAAGGGCTTATGAGGATACAATCTTAAGGTGATTGAAACAGGATTTTCTGACCATAAAGCACAGATACTACAGATATGGATGCAGTATAAGAATAAAAAGGGGCAAGTTAGACTAAAGGAATAATTCAGAATAGCTAGATCTCACAGGGAAGAGAATGTACAATACCTAAACTATCTACTAGAAAGAGACTTGGGAGCTTGTTTTTACACAAAATTCAGCGAACGAGGCATACACTGAATTTTTAGGTACTTTACAGTATTATTACGATATAGCTATGCCTAAAAAATGGGTAAAAACTAAACAGCAGGAAAATAAAGGGGTTACCTCAGGAATAAGGGTATCGGGGAATAGACTCAGGTTTCTTAATAGTCTAATGAAAGAAGGAAATATGCCAGAAGAATTTAAATACTACTACTGTCATTACAAAAAATATACAACAAAGTTATCAGTGAAGCAAAAAAAATAACTAATAACATGCGAATAAGAGCATCAGAGAATAAATCAAAAGCCATGTGGGACCTAGTTAAGGAGGAACTAGGTAAACAGAAAGAAGCAACGAAGAATATTGAAATAAGCGAGAATGGAGTTAATATACAAGATCCAAAAGCTACAGCCAATGTCTTTAATGAATACTATACCAGTATTGCCCAAATGGTATTGAGTGGCAATCCATTATCCAAAACCAATGAAGTTAATGTCAATACAGTAAAATATAATAGTAACAGCATGTTCTTAAACCCAACTACTGAAGAGGAAGTGGCAGGCATAATTAAAGGATTAAGTAATAAAAAATCAACTGGAATTGATGATAATCCAGAGTATATTATTAAAAATGTTATCCTAAAATAACAACTGCTATGACATATATAATAAATCTGTCACTCTCAACTGGACATTTTCCTGATCAACTAAAAATTGCAAAAAGTGAAGCCTTTGTATAAGAAAGGATCAGATACAGAACTTGGGAATTACAGTCCAGTTTCACTAATTTCGTTTTTTTTTTTTTCAAAAATAATTGAAAAAATCATACATAATCAATTTTGAATAATCACAGCATAATTAACAATAAACAGCATGGTTTCTGGAAAGGGAAATCAACAAATACTGCAACTGCAGAGTTTATAGAAAGGGTCTACAAATCAGTGGATGAGAGGCAAATAAGTATAGGCATATTTCTGGATCTGTCAAAGGCATTTGACTTAGTTGATCATGATATGAGGGCTGGAACTTTAATAGTGGCAACACTGCTGTAGAGACGCCATGCAATGGAACCAAATAATGTTGCTTATACCACACGTTAGTTACATACCTACCTTACCTCAGAGCAAATGGACTCTCCCTTCCCACATCATGCGCATGCGCAGTGACGAGAAGAACGGAGCCTCGTGTTAGCTGGCGGTCTAATGTAGTGTTGTCACGATGTTTTCAAAACAGGAACAGCGGAGTTGGATAAAGATTGAACGTGCCAGAGGCCGTACAGCACGACAGTGTCATCAAGGTCTTCAAGAGGCTTGCAGGGAATCTGCATTGCCTTACAGAACAGTGGCAAGGTGAGTAAAAGCCTTCAATGAGAGCCGTCAAAATGTGGCAGACACGCATTGGCCAGGTCATCCTAGTGTCAGTGAGGAAGAAGTGTATGCACTTTCTGCGTTACTGGAGAGTGATCGATGCCATACGATTCATGAGCTGGCCCGAGACAGGAGTAGCACATACGAATGTGCTTCACATTCTGAATGAACGCCTGGGCATGAGAAAAATTGCATCACGATGGGTTCCGCATGATTTGACAGAAATGCAGAAATGGCTACAATACGACACTGTTCGTAACCACTTGGAGCACTATGACCACAAAGGAGAGGCTTTCTTATGCCTTATCATTACACTGGATGAGACATGGGCCAAATCGTATGAGCCACATATGAAACGCCAATCGAACAAATGGAATCATTATGGGTCACCACAAAAATCAAAAGTTTGTCAGAACCCCAGCAATGTGAAAGTTATGGTGATTCTCATGTACAACTGTGATGGCGTTATCCTAACGCATACCGTTCCCCGACAGCAGACGATCAATGCACAGTATTACTGTTCATTTTTGGGACACAACCTGTGACCAGCTTTGAGAAAGAAGTGGCGACACTTTCTGCAGAACCCACCCATCATTTTGCAGGACAATGCTCAGCCGCATGCAGCACAAGCTGTAGCTGATTTGTTCGATCAATGGGGCTGGAAAGTGCTGTACCATCCACCATACTCCCCAGACTTAAGCCCTTGTGACTTCGACTTGATTCCTAAGATGAAGGAACCACTTTGTGGCATTCACTTCAGAACTGTTCCAGAGATTCTTCAGGCAGTAGACTGCTCCATTCAAACTATCAACACAACAGGCGCTGCTAAAGGTATCCTATGACTTCCACATCGCTGGCAATGGGCTGTACACAATGCTGGTGACTACATCGAAGGACAGTAAAATTTCGAAACATGCATCTATTTTGTATCAGCTGTAAATAAATAGTTGCCACTATTATAGTTCCAACCCTCGTATACTGCTAAGGAAGATTACAAGAATGGGAATAAGAGGATTGCATNCCAGCAATGTGAAAGTTATGGTGATTCTCATGTACAACTGTGATGGCGTTATCCTAACGCATACCGTTCCCCGACAGCAGACGATCAATGCACAGTATTACTGTTCATTTTTGGGACACAACCTGTGACCAGCTTTGAGAAAGAAGTGGCGACACTTTCTGCAGAACCCACCCATCATTTTGCAGGACAATGCTCAGCCGCATGCAGCACAAGCTGTAGCTGATTTGTTCGATCAATGGGGCTGGAAAGTGCTGTACCATCCACCATACTCCCCAGACTTAAGCCCTTGTGACTTCGACTTGATTCCTAAGATGAAGGAACCACTTTGTGGCATTCACTTCAGAACTGTTCCAGAGATTCTTCAGGCAGTAGACTGCTCCATTCAAACTATCAACACAACAGGCGCTGCTAAAGGTATCCTATGACTTCCACATCGCTGGCAATGGGCTGTACACAATGCTGGTGACTACA